TTAATTGAGTGTTTATTTGTGTGTTTATATAGTGGACATATGTTTGCTTGGTGCACGCGTGGGCCAGATCGAATTAATTGTTGATATTGGCCATGTGAATTGTTGAGTGAGCTCTGTCTGCGTGTGACTCGATGCGTGCACGGATCGCGTGTGATGGGCTAGTTGCGTGTGGTAAATGCATACCGAGTATGTGCATGAGTAAGGAGAAGTTGTGGTGTGACAAGTGATTGTGGGAAAGTATGCGAAAGTGTGGTAGTGCGAGAATGGGATCGGGCCGGGTACCGTAAACTCGGGCAGCGATCACGTAGGTCTGATGCATTTGGCACAGGCTGAGATTGGAAAAAGCAAGTATGAGAATCGGTCCGAGGCACGATCAGCTCGGGTGAGATCGGGATTGGACCGAGGCATCTTAAGCTCGGGTTTCAATCATGTAGGCCTGTCGCATTTGGCGCGGGCTGAGTTGGGATCGGACCTGGGGCGTGTGATGCTCAGGTCGCGATTGGGGCCTGAGGCGTGAACGGGTACGCGGGCGGATGTGGTGAATGATCGTAGTGTGCCTGAAGCGTGTACTTCAACGCGGATCACTGGCGAGGAATATGAAAGAGGAATGAGGATGGAAGGAATAGTGGGATGAGAATGGTACATGCGCGTGTTTGCATCTGATGTAGTTGTGATTGAGTGCGGGTGTGCACATGATTGAGCCTGACCATATTAATTGATGTGCCTGCTTTGTGATTACTTAATGTACGTGAATGTGTGTGATTGCGTAATTGTCTGGAGGTACGTGATAGCCTAGGTTGGGTTTAGGGGTGTACTTGCTGAGATATAATCTCATGGTTGTGTAAACCAACAATTTTCAGAACCCCGACCTGAGCGATGAACCCTCCACCGCCGCCACCAGAACGTTTTGGGGTCCCAGTGCACACTGAGGTTGACGCTACAGAATTTCCGATGGGAGATGGGATGACCTGGATTAAGCACACCTCTGCAGTGTTTATAGATGTAGGTTTGCCTCTTTGGGAAGAGCATAAGTACAATGCCTGGTTCTTCCGGGATGCTGACGGGACTGAGTTCGGGCCCGTTAGAGGATTCGATGTTCCTTTTGATCTTGTTGGGGATTGGGACCCGACGGCCGTACCCCCGATAGACGGAGAGTTGACTAGTGTGGATACTAGTTTAGCTCAGTCGGGTTTGTAATCAGCGGCCGCAGCTCAGGGATCTTCAGAGACTAAGCATGAACCCGAGCCCGAAGCGTCGCAAGCTGAAGACGATCCCATGGACATCGATTTGGAACCGATCCCCGAGGAAGAACCAGAGGAAGCGGAGGCCGAGGTAGAACCCGAAGAGGTGGAGCCCGAGGTAGAGTCTGAGGTCGAGTCTGAAGAGTCGGATGAGCCGGCAGGAGACCCGGAGTATATACTCCCTTTTGAGGAATACATAGATCCCAATTACGTGCCTAAGTATAATTTCTTCAAATTTCTGGCTGAGGAGTATCAGAACGCAGCTCCGGCTGAGTCGGGTGACATCAATCACCTGATTGTGATCGCAACTGAGCCGGAGTCCTCTGAGGAGCAGACTGTCCAAGGAAGTTCGGATTCAGAGGGTGAAGAGTCAGACTCGGAGTGGACACCGAGTAAGGGCCGTAGGGGTTAGTGCATGGGTCTAATCAGAGTTTTTGAGGTGTACCATTTTTGGAAATTAGGATACCAGGTCATCCAGTCCTTTTTGTTATCGAAGGTGGATAGTAAGGTGTGCACTTGTATATTAAGGCTGTAATTGTGAATATCTTATAAGTTTGTGAATGGAAAATAATATGTGTATTCTCCCTGAATATTCTCCCCAGTTTTAATTGTCCGGGTTAATTGTTAGTATCCGCTGTGGTTGTAAATCTCTGATGTCGATTTGAGGTCGGCGACAATCCTGGGATGTCGCATAAATCGACTAGGTAAGGGTGTTGCGTGCCCGATGGGGTTCGGGGCGTGACACGTTAGGCGGTGATTGAATAAGGTTAGGTACCGAAATGGCACTAGTTGATTAATTAGTATAATAAAGTCCTCAAACCCTTTGAATCTTTGGTTCGTAGAAGTGAAGCAAATCTCCCATGCTTTACTTGGGTGTCTAATCGACCCACCGAAAACTGATTAGTGGCGACTCTTAAATGAAATTGATTTGTGTGTTAATAACTTAAACCTAAGTTGCGAATTGGTATGGGTTTGGGAGAGCTCAAGTTAGGTTTAAACTTAGTAATCCATTAGCCAAACCCCCTATATGGTGAGACTAGTTCGAGGAGGTCGCAACAACAAGAATAGGCCCAAACCTTACCTGCAGACCTGATCGGATGGATCTGTAGGCCATTCAGGGCCGATTCGACCGGGTCAAACTGGCTCTATTTTGTCTTCTTCCACCAGATCGGGCCGACTGGGTCTGCAGGCCATTCAGGGCCGGTTCAACCAAGTCAAACCGGCCCTGTTTTGTCTTCTTCCACGGGATCAGGCTCGATCCGATCCAGGACCCGGGGTCAACGTCTTTGGGTCGGGTTCATTGACCTGGGTCAGATTTGACCTAACCCGATCCGCCGACCCGACCCGGTCGAATATTATATTAATATATTATTATTTTTAATTAAAAATATTATTTTTAAAAAATATTTAAAAACTTTTTTTATTTTTCTTTAAAAATTAGGAAATAGTTTAGAAATTAGTATTTTTGAATATTTTTCTAAATTATATAAATTATTCTATTAATGATCATGTTTAAATCGGATAATCCTATAAGGCTATGCGGTAGTATTTTGCATGTTTTTTTTACTACTGTTATATTATTATTATGCATATTATTTTTAATTAGAATATAATTGCATAAATTATCATGTTTTGAATGTTGTCGCCTTAGTTAGGGTTAGAATCCTAGGCTGCATATCTTTCTTGACTGCTAATTACTAATGATTGTGCACTCGTTTGATCACCTCATATGTTAGGAGATAGGTCCTAAAATCAATCCAAATTGCCTGATAAATATTTTTTGAAATGAACAGGATGAAAGGTACCGAAATGGCACTAATCACTCAACTAGCGTAACCAAGTCCCCGAACTAATTTAATTTCTGGTTCGTAGGAGTATGGTGATTCTCCCGTCACTTTACTTGGGTTTTTAATCGATGCACCCCAAATTGATTAGTGGCGACTCCTAGGTAAAAATCACTTGCAGGTTAAAAACCTAAATCACAAGTCGCGATATGATATGGGCTTGGGAGAACCAAAGTTGAGTCTCAGACCTAGACTTAGCGCGTACCAAGCTATGCCACATTTTCCCTCTTGTTGACACCTGATTTTTAGCCGACACGTCATAAAGGTAAAATCTTGAGATTAGGGTTTCTGATCGCGACAAAACCCAATCCTTAACCAAAAAGAGTCATTTAGCATTCGAATTAGCATTAACCATTCATTTCTTAGCTTTTTTCATTTCAATTTCAAAAAGTCAAAAAGTTGACTTTCGAGTTGACTTTTTGGTGAAACTTTGATCAAAAGTCAACCCAAAGTTAAATTTTGGTTTTTTGCATAAAAACCCCAAAACAGAATCAATTTCACTTTTGCATAATCAATTTTCAAAAAATTCAAAGTTTGACCCATTAATTGACATTTTAGTATATAAGTACTAAAATATTGACTTTTGGTCAACACTTTGTCCAAAAAAATTCAAAAATTTTAAAACCACGAAATCAACTCATTTTTAGCTTAATTTCACTTTGGCATCATCAATTTTACAAAAATTGGTTCATAATCAACTTTTCTCCAATTTGCGGAATTTTGTTCAAATCGGCCAAAAATGAAATTACTTCATTTATAGTCATTTTTTAGGATAGTTTCATTCATGACATTTGATCTAGAGATCGTATTGCATTCAATTTTGGAGTCAATTCTGTAATTCCAAGCCAAGGGCAAAAACCCCCAATTTAGGCCCTAATCAGTGATTTCGATCGATTCTTCATGATTTGCACAATTAAGACACGGATGAGCTAATTTCTTATGTGAAATTCAAATTTGAAATCAATTTGAGCCAATTTGGCCAATTTAGTGATCCAATAATTGAGAAATCTAAGAGTAATTGGTCAAATTAGTACAATTCAACTTGACCCATTCTAGACTAACATCCAATTTGATAAATTGAAACTCAATTTGGCCATTTGGACTTCAATTAAATCCATTAGTCTAGCTTGGCCATGCAATTAACTCAAACTAAAACAATTGGGCCAAACAAGTTAAATTGGATCAAATGTGCATGTTTTTCAAATTGGATCAATCCAATTTAATCAAATTCAATTCAATTGGGTCAATCAATAATGGTAGGGATGAAATTGTACAAAATTGGAACAAATTGGGCTGAGAATTGAATCGATTCAACCTGGTCAAACCTGGATCAAACCGATCCAACCGGTTCAATTCGGTTTGACCGGAATTGAACCGGTCTGATCGGACTGGCCATTTTTCCAGTCAAGAATCCAGTGATTGGTTGTTCATTCCGGCCACCCACATCCCTTTGTGCTCAAAATGACAAAGATACCCTTAAATAGAAATTGCAAAAATGCCCCTAAGCAAAATTACCAAAATACCCTTAATTAAGGATTAAGCAAATTACTTAGGAGTTAAGCAAATCAATCATGGCCATTTATGTAGAACAGATCGTGGCCATCCATAGTACCATGTCGCTTATCCTTAGCCCCTAAGAAATATTCTTAATCATTAAAGATACATTATAGGCCATATATTGATATAGAGGCTTTGATTTAAAGCTGAGGGAGGTATATAAGCTTTTTCCCTCCAAAAATTGAGAAGGACTTTCATTTTTCAGATCCGGTTTCTCTCTCTTCTCTCTCCCTCTCTCTCGCGTTCTTTCCCTCTCTACTCTCAGTCAGGAGCTCTCCTTGCTCACGCCGGCCACTAGCCGGCCGATTTCCTGCACACCGCCGGCTCTCCGACAACCCCCCGGACGTCCTGAAGCCATTCGTAAGACCGGCCACAGCTACTGGTGGCCGGAGCACCTCCGATCAGCTCCATCTCTCTCTCAGTTACATCACCGGTAGCCAAGCTGGTGATTGATCCAGCCGGCTTCCGTGGTGATTCCGACAATCTGACGGCTCCCCTTCAGCAATCTCGAGCCTCAGCGACCTTACTTGGCATCCTCACGTGGCTGTGGTGGCTGGCCTCCCTTCGAACAACCCCCGGATCGCTTCGTTTTACTTGATTTCCATTGATAGTTCATTTGCACAAAACTGAGTCGGTTCTTACTTTAGTTTGTACACTCGATTCTCATAGGTTTGTCGAGCTTTCCGAGGCTTCTCCATGCTGTCCTTGAGCTGAATACGGAGGCCGGATCGCTTGGTTGTGCGTCAAAGTATCATTACACAGGGTGAGTTCAAATCTGTCATTCTTGGATCCTGATGATCTGATTGCTTGTGATGATGATTTGACTTCTAAAATGTTGGAATCTTGCAAAGTGATGAACTAGAGAGTCGTAGAATACATCTTGAGCATCGATTTGATAGGTTACATGCCTTAAACAGACATCATTTGCTAGATCAAAACTTCTTTGAAAGTCGAGATTAGAGTCTAGAATGATTATGTTGTGTTCTGTTCTTCTGTAATACTGAATGACCTTGCTCAGTTGGTGATGTTTCTGATTTTCTTTGTTCGTTATTTGAGAAAACTTCCTACATGAAAGTTGTCAAGAACATTTAGATATGTCCAATGTAAAAATTTCATAAAATTCCAAGCAAGTTAGGTTAGGACGATTAACAATGTCATCTAGGCTCAGTTCCTGTGATAAATGAGTTTCTGACTGACCTTCATGTGTTCTTTGATTTTTATAAACTCGTGTATTCAAAATCTGGAAAAATGTTCTCCATGAAAGTTCATACTGAGATCAAGAGATTTCAAGTCACATCAATTTTATCAAAATCAGAGTTCATTTAGATTTTCAAACGAATTTTTATGATTTAGTCAGTATCTGTGTCCAGATCTGATTTTCCTTTTTCTGAAATCCAAAATATGTTTCTTCGAATTTGATAAAGTTAGAGTACTTTTTTGCTAAAATATAAAACTACAAAGTTGTTCGTTAGGGTCTTATTATGTAGACTAGAAAGTTTTGGGACCTAATATCAATTTTTATGGGGTCAATTTGCTAGAAGTCTTAGATAAAGTCCTCTCGAACTAAAACTTGGCTTGCAAATGAGTCCTCGGTGAAAACCGAATTTTACAAAACTTTAGAGGGATTTTTAGCAAAAAATCAAAACATAAAAACTGTCACATATGGATAATTCTAATTGTCCAAAAAATTTGGCGGGGTTTTGATAACAGTCACTATTTTTCCCGTAACTTCTTTGAATTCAAATTAAAACCGAGTCCAGACTGTCCCCGAGGGTAAAATTCTCATTTTCGTGAAAATTGGTGGGAAATTAGAAAAAATGTTCTTCATGAACTTTGATCCTCATGAAATTATATTTCTAATGACACATGAATCACTTCATTTGGATATCATTAGGTTGATTAATCACATCTGAACAGAAAGGGTTCAAATTAGCAATTAATAATTGAACAAGTGGACCTCACTTGAGGCCTACTATCCATTGCTTGTTTGGTTGAAAACAAGGCCCATGGGCCTGAATGCATGCATTATTCATTGTCTTGCATGTGTTTGTTAGATGTATGTTAGGCCCGGCGCATGTTCGGCGGGTAGTCCACGGTGGTCACTTAGAACCCTATTTTAGGGGTTAATCGATATGAGTTGCCATTTTGTAAATGCAAATGATAGCTCATTATCGTTAACCATTAATCAAATAATGTTAGACGATTAAGTGGGCGGGCAAATAAAAATGTATGCAAAGCAAAGGCAGATCTCGAGGCCCGTATTTGATTAGTGAATTGCTTACGTCATTGCCTTGCTTTGATTGTCCTTTTGTACATTGTTTGTCATGAATGTATTTTATGGATGTAAAAACCGACACCCGAGAGGCGATCCATGGAGGAGATAGTCCAAAGTTGTTAAAGACGGTGGTCATAGACCGATGTCCAATCCGATCTCAATTTGTATTCAATTCATTCGTCCCCAATCATGTCTCGGGCTTTCAATTTGTATTGTGATAAACACCCGATGAGTTGCGGGTTTTTCTTTCTTGCACTTAGGATTAGCTTGTCTTTTTAATACCTTGAGTGTTTACTTTACGTAATGCCTTTCAATATTTCTTTCCTAGACTAAGATAGGATTAGTTTAGAATCTTAAATGAAAACACAAAAACAAGATGCGTGATCACTTAGTGGGACTAAGGCTTTGGCATGAAAATGGTAAAAAACACAAATGAGAGTAGATTTTATAATAACCATGATAAGTTTAGCAGTATCGAAAGGGCATTAATAGAAATATTAACGTAAGCTAGTCCCCAAACCCATTATCTCTAGTTTTCGTAGAAACCAAAATGAAACTCCCGCATTTCGGTTGGGTATTCTAGCCGACCCCCGACCTAGGCTAGTGGTGACTCTTAAAAAAGATAAAATCGATCCGTTGTTACGTGAGGTATGGATTTAGGGAAAATACACATTCATGATCAATGGACCGTATGGATGACCAAAAGATCGACGCTTCGGTAAGTTGTCTTTTATGATTTGTCACACAGACCGTTTCATGAACACTTACCTCTAAACTCACTTCATCGAGTTTGGCTCTCGAGAGGTAGGTCGTGACACCTCTCCCATGGAAAAATTCGGTGAGTCGTGACAGACTGGCGACTCCGCTAGAGACTATTTTTCTTAAGTGGACTTAGGCCAGAAATTTTATCCTGTTCAAAAATATTTTTGGCAGCGAGGATTCTAGGTCTAATTTGACATTAAGGTGTTAAATGTTCTTGCAGATTCGAAGTAATGATTGTTTATGAATTGTTGTGTATGCTTTAATAATTTAGCACTACACTGTTGCATACATAACCATACCGCCAGACCTGGGCCACGATAGGGCATTTAGGATGGTGTTAAGAAAGATACGACCTCGAACGCGAGACCGCGATCTAGAGGTTGCCTTTCTTTTCCCCGAAATTTCTTTCTAAGTATTGTAAAGTGTCTATCTTTAGCAGCTATCTATGTGACTATAAGGTATTCCTTTCGACTAAGTCGAGGTTAGAAGGACCTGACACCAACATGAGACTACGATGGTCAGACATCCTTTTAGCTTCATTTTGCTAAGCCGTCTAGATAGAAATCGAACCTCACTTCTTATGCGCATGTCTCTAGGATTGCCATGGTGCTCGGTAAAGTAAGTTTTCCATTCCTGCACTTTGTAATTTATTTATTTTCGTATATTCCGATCGGTCCATGATTAGTCTAGGTTAGTTGTGGGTTTAATACCGTAGTTATTTTGGAAGAAACATTCACTAAAACTTTTTCATAATATTTACTTCCAATTCATGCCCTTATTTTTATAAGCATGTTAAAATCATTGTTTTCCCAAGGGATTTCCCGTCGTTTTCAAAAAAAAGGAGAAAATTGTGTATAAATAAAAAAATGCACCCCATTGACACTACCAAGGCTTTGGCCTACTGGTACCCGTGGAATGAATTGGTCTGAAAGACCAGGGTTCGAACCCGGAAGACGGCAACTAGGTTTTCCATTCTAAAAAATCAATAATGTAAAAAAAATTTGCATCTTATTTTTTTGCAAGATGGGGAAAAGTACTTGACTAAATGGAGTATGAAAATACAGTACTAGACTAAGTCATGGACTGATCCCTTATGAGGTATTATACTCATTCATTTCCATTTCCCGATAGGTAATTACGAATTATACCCATTCGCCAAACAAAAATGGCTAAAGAGGATATGACAACCCGTGTGGCGGACATAAAGAACGAGATAAAGCAAGTCTTCACCTTTCTTCGACAACTCTCGAAACAAGTGGAACATCTGTCAGTCCGCTTGGACCAACTCACCATGGCTGCATTTCTTCACCCAAGACCAGGGGTGATGATTCAAATGGAGCCATCCAGTGTCAACCCAAAAGGCACAGCTGTCATATCTGACAATATTATTAAGTCCCCCAATCCTAAGGAATTGAGCACCCTACGCCCAAAGTTCATACAACGTGAACAATGCAGATTCAGTATAACCGTCCGGGCGTAACCATCACAAAGGCGAAATAACAGAAAATAGTTTACGCCACTCTCCTGGCCTATGTCTCAAATCTTGCCCATTCTCCTGGAAAAGAGATTGCTTGCTAAAGACCCAAAGCGTGAAAATCCTAAGCGTTTCCCCAACTACGATCCCTCCAAAGCATGCAATTATCATCTGGGTGAAATAAGACATTCCGTCAATGACTGTATTGTCTTGAAGAATAAAGTCCAGAAATTATTGGATGCAAAGATATTTTCATTCCGCAACGCACCACCAATCAAGCAGGAGGCGCAGATGTCATCATTGAGTAAACTAAAGACTCAATTTTTCCCCTTTAGAATAGAAGCATATTTAATAGTTTGAATCCTCCCCTATGTGGGAGCTTTTCTTGCTTTCTAAAGTCTCATTTGTTTTCTAGTATTCTCGATTTTCTGAATTTTCAATTATGCTTGGAATTTGAGTATTGCAATTTCCATTCTAACAAATGTAATTCGCCTAAATTATTCAAAAGAATCGCCAATGTTTTGTTTTGACGATATGTTGAGGTATACTAAACCAGCCCGGTCATGATATCCACCCATGAAAATAAAATATCATCCATGTAGAAATTTTGAGGGCTGGACTTCCTCATGCTTCCTCCCTCAATTCTTTTCAAAAATAATAAAAACATTGCATTGCTAAAGGCTTTTTTCCAAGCATGTGTTAGATAGACGTTGTTTGTTTTTTTTTTTACTCCTTTGCTTGATGTCTCATAGCGTAATTCTCCTGGTTTGTTTCAATGATGAAGCTTCATAAGATGACACATCAATTTCCAATGATGGTAGACCCGTTGGTTAGTTTGATAATCAACATAATGGTGAGCATATTTTCAGAAGAATGCTATATCAATGTGGGTAATTGATTACCCCTTGATTGATTGTGATGACCTCCCGAGGAGCGAAGTAGGCGTCCAACAATCCTTATCTCCAAGCATGTCCCAAGTCGCTTCCCCGCACATTTTTGTGAAACCGGGGGCAAGTCAGGAAGAAATCACCCTTTTTTGAAAGGAAAAAGGTAAGTTTTATTCCTCAACAAATTTTGAAAATAATACTCCATCCCTTCTTTTTTGCAGGTAACAAACTAGGGAGCATGCTAAATTCTGATGTGCTAGTAAGCCGGATAGAGCACAAATGATGAGACCTCTTGAGCGAAACACTACGGAATACTAAAAGGATGTATCTTGGTCCTTGTCTTAGCCCTAATCTGTGCAAACAACTAATACATTTCTTCCGTAATGTGCAAAGAGTCCTTGATTGGAGAAATAGACTAGAGGGCATGGAATGTTAGAATCCCCCAATCTAGCAAAAATGGTGTATTTCGTTCCTAAAGTTCATCTACTTTAACATAGAAATGATATATCCTCTCCTTTTATGTAGGATGGACTTGAATAAAGGTCCATCATAAGCAGCTAGATTGGACTTCGCATATGACAAGATAGCACCAATGCTAATACTGACAATCATGGAAGTCTTGATGGTAGTCATCAAAAAGGATTACAACGCCCATATTAGTCAAAGACATTTAAAGTCAATATTAGCTTTGCTGCGAAGATCCACATGTGTAGTCAGGAATCAGATGATTCCCGAGAAGCTTTTCAACGTGCCGGAACCGCATTAACACAACATGCGTCGAGAATAGGACCGCCTAGTTAGGAGCACCCTTGCCTGTAGAGGATTTCATTCGAGCTTCAAGACCAACAAGGAAGGGATTTCAAAAGAAAAGACTTTGCTAGCTTTGAAGACAAAATGGAGGACGGGTAATTTAGTATCGTTCTCAATTTACCCACGATCATTTCATTACTAACATGAGCTCATGCTATTCTCAACAAGAATTGTCAACATTTGAGAAAAGCTCCAGGAGTCATTAGCTTAAACTCAAATGAAGGGAGATACGAAGGGTAAATTGATATTGTTCTCAATTTATCCTCGATCATCTTATTTCTAACATGAGCTCATGCTATTTTCGACAGATATTGTTGACATTCGAGAAAGCTTAAGGAATTGTAAATTTAAACTCAAATGAAAGGAGACATGAAGGGTAATGTTGTATCGTTCCCAATTTCTGTCCCCCAAAGAGTCGTTCATTAACATGGACTCTCTTATTGCCTTGCAGGTTTGCCTCGCCGCCATTGCAGCACAGGTAAGTATCTCTTTCCTTGAATCTCTTTTCATAAGAGTAGAAAGAATTAAAGAAAGAGGAAACAATTTAAAGCGAATAGATGCTTAATCATCCCTCAAATACATCGCATATCTTTTGAAAAGGAATTTTGCAAAGTAATTTTACTTGTTTAATTTACCAATTCCATGCAAAAATTTTGACAATTCGACGAATGGTGTCGAACTACTCGGATATGCTGAACAAGATGCATCGGGATGATGAAAGGCAATCCCTAGTCCATACACATCCCCATGTACCGATACCTGGCGAGATGAATGGAAAGATTCCATGTCTGCAAGGTAAAGGGATTTCTCGCATAAGGTACGATATTCGAAATGATGAGAGGCAGTTCATTTCTCTGCCCCATACACTACCGGCGATCCTTTACTTAACCATTTTGAGCCCATACACTCAAAGGTTCCTTTTAAATTACCCCTATTGAGAACCACCCCATACTAGGGGGCAACTGGAGGTAAGTCCACAGCACGAGGTAAGAAAAATGGATAGAAATTTTCTTGTTTTCACTTGCATCAATTTTTTAGTGTTATTATTGCAGATGAACTCTCACGATGATTTAAGTGCCCTAGGATGACCAAGAGCAATTCTTCTTCTATCCCATACACTTATATCCCTTGCTAGCCCAATTGAGTCGGCGATTTTGTTTCGTACAAACCCAGTTGGTGATCATCCCCCACACCGGGGCAAAGCAAAAGTCACCACAGTTCGATCATCATGATTCAGAGTGTCGAATGAGGATGAAGACCCCATAGAGCCTAATAGTATTATTTTATTCAAACTTGTTTGGGTTAATCTTGACAACACCAAAAAAACAGCAAAAAATGATGAAATGAATCAATGAAAATTAAGAGCGTGGAAAAAGCAATGTGCCTAGCAAAAACAAAGCCAATGCCCATAGACAAAAAGCGACCAAAAAGTAAAGGAATTTGTATCCCCAAGCGAATTCACAATTGTTAGACAAAAGTCCAAGAAGCCAAAGCGCGAAATTACCTCGGGGAGTTTACAAAGAAGATCCCAACAGTTAAGAAGAAGACTGGTGACAATGCCAAGATGATCACCAACTCTCATCCTTACACACATCATTGAGCTTGAAACCCTTTCGTTCCTCGACCTGTGAACCGAACCTCCGTTACGTCTCTAATGAAGTCTCTTCTGATTATGGCACTTGAGTTAACGTTGAGTTTCAATTGTTTATAAATATCGCTTAAGGAAGTGCGAGCAAGATTTCTTCTATCTTATTTTGCAAGGTTCTTGACTTGTAAACCCGGAGATGATTGCGGAGTATTTTCTTTGATAACCTTGACTTGAACAATCTCCTTTGTTAAACTATTGACCAAGCTTGCATTACGATCCTTATAAAGACCTCTAAGATTGGTAAGATCGTACCACTTGCGAGAAAACTTAGACCCTTGTTGATGTGACGACGGTTAGATTTAGTGTTTTCTATATTCTCGAATTAATGGTCGGGATAAACAGCCCTTTTTCAATAAGAGCGGGTGGAAGTTCCTTTCTGACTGAAGATCCCTTGTTCAGCTTCTTGAGAAGTCCACCTTGCGAGCGAAAATTATCTCAATTGATAATTATCCTCGGTGGATATTTGGTGATGCAAACATGACAAAATCATCATGCATGAGCTTTAATTGAATTATCTACAACTCTAGTAAGCTTTGAAATGCGCACTCTGGAATAGCCTAACTTGTCTATATCCTTGATGAATGTATGCATATTTGCTCTAATCATCTCTGATAGATAAAATGTCCATGAAGACTCAAAGAACGCTTGACGTCCAGGTTGTCTCCACAAACATCCCAAAGACTCTTGAACATTCCCCTCAATGGGATCGACACGGCGTGGTTCTGTAGCTGGAGTCCCTCGTTGACTTAATATCCTTTTGTGACTCAGAGTCCCTTCTTATTCCCAAGTGGTGTATCCAAAGAAGAAATTCATATACCAAATTGGCACTCATGTTCCCCAAGTAGAATTGACGCGGTTTGCTTTCGTGTCTCGGAGTCTCTCTTACTCCCCAATGGTATGCCACAAAAATTTGGGCACTGGAAAAGCCCTCTTTACCATCCCCAGCGATGTGTCCTGAGAAAGGTCGGCATCTCCTGAGAAAGGTCGACTTTCCCCGAGAAAGGTTGGTATTCCCTGAGAAAAGTTGGTTATTTATCATATGATCCATCAAACCTTCGGCTAAGAAACTCCAGGTATTTTATCAGAATTCTTTTCAAACCACTCGGAGGATAATCAAGGTGTTCTTTTAAAAGAAAAAAGCATTTCTCATTGCATGGAATGCAACCCAAATGTCTCAAAAGATGTATGTGTTCTAAAATTGCCTTAATTGTTTATTTTTTCAATGAATGCATATACTTTTGCAAAGAAACATGTATAAAGGGAGACATGCCCTTAAGAAGTAGGAACGTACCCACGTAAGTATTTTTCTACCCAAGTCTATTTCAAAAATTCAGGTACCTACGATTGTTATGGCACCCCCCGAACATTGGACCGACCCTATGTTCATCAGGTATCTACGATTGTTATGGTACCCCCGAACATTAGACTCACCCTCTGTTCACCAACCGAACATTGGACCGACCTCTCTATTCACCAGGTACTTACGATTGTTATGGTACTCCCCGAACATGGGATCGCCCCCCTCTGTTCACATCCAGCCTTTTCAGGTACCTCTAACAATATTTAAGTACTTCGACAAGCAAACCTCAGTCAAGGTGACTGAAGATAGGTTCGTGTCCTAGACAAACAATTTCCTCCGTCAAGGCGACCGAAGATAGGATCGGATCCTCGACACACAATATTAACTATCTGGAATTACTCTACCCTCCTGGCAAGGTAAGTAACCTCAGGTATGTCTTTATTTGCTTTAGCATGCATTATCTTATATCGGATCATGAAAAATGGGATCTATGATCCTGCCAAAAATAACATTCAATGTACATGCACGGGCCAAATTTAGGTCTCATTTTATCTTTAAATGCAACATTTGCGAGCATAATCTTTGCGAGCTCACCCTCAAAGAGGGGTAGCTGTTGACACATATTTTATTAATCTGGCCAAAATTAATTATAAAAAAATTTAGGGGTTAATGTTCTTAGTTTCTAAAAAAAAATTTATTTAATTGCATCTCATCTAGGCATTAGGCATGTTAATAGTAATTGCACTAATTAGAGTTTTTAAAGTAATTAAAAAAAATCGAATCGGGCTAGGTCAACCCGACCCTCTCTTTTCTTCCCCATGGGCCCTACCCGATCCTTTTCTCTTTTCCTTTCCTTCCGTGCAAGCTGGGCCCGGCTCGGCCCAGCTCCTTCTTCTCTTTCTCCCCACCATCCCGGCCTCTCTCCTCTTTCCTCTCTGTCGCTGTAATCAGTCGCCTGGGACAGACGCGGAGAAGTCGCTCCACAGTGCAAGTCTGGCCACTGAAACCAATGGAGCAGAGAGCAATTGAGAGGACTTAATGGAGAGGACATTTGGGGCAGAGCAGGTAGTCACCGGCCACTATATAAGCAGGCGAAGGAGAGAGAGAAAGGATCAGCCCCTTTGAGGAAGAACAGAGCAAAGGGAGAGAGCGAGATTAGGAGAGATTTTTGAGTTAGAAATAGAGAGAAAAGGGAGAGTTGAGAGCTTGCAAGTCTCGAAGAGGAAGCAGCCCGTCTCGCCATTGCCCGTAGATCGGTAGATGACCCCCCTGAAGCAACCCTACGGGTAAGTCCTTCAAAGGCCCTGTTTTCCCCAGTTTTTTGTTGCAATTTGGCTAGGACTCACGCTGACCGTTTCATGCGAATCTCGGCCCATACCAATCCTGATACTGGTATATAATCGCCTTCAGAAGCTAGTCGTGACCACCGGAGTAGACCTTGATCTCAAGAGAGGTCGGAGACTCCCTGTTTTGGTCGCGCATTTCATGTGTTCGACAAAATGCCCAAGAGAGGCTTGTTATTCTCAACCCTTGGTCGGCTGTGTAGGGGCCATCCGGTGAGCTGTGGTCTTCGAGGATGGTTTTATAGGGGTCGTCGGAGGCCAAGGGAGCCTGAAGGTTGGCTTGAGTTGGCTAGCCAAGCTTCAACCTATGTTTGGGCTCGACGAGCCCCGGTCGAGGCTCGGCCGGCAGCGGCCGTGGCCGGCCACCTTGGTCAGTCATATGGGGGCCTCCTCGGCCTCAAGTTCCGAGGCTAGTGAGGCCGATGGCCAGGCGAGATGGCCGGCCAATCGCTGGATCTCGCCCGGTCAGCGTTCTCACATGCAAAGGCACGCCAGAATAGGCCTAAACCTAGCCTGCAAACCCTGTCAGACCGGTCTGCAGGCCATTCAAGGTCGGTTCGACTAGGTCAAACCGACCCTATTTCGTCTTCTTCCATCGAACTGGGCCCGATCTGGTCCAGGACCCGGGGTCAACAACCCGGGTTGACCCCGACCTAGAGATCCGACTCGAATCAACGCCTTTGGGTCGAGTCCGTTGACCTGAGTTAGATTTGACCCAACCCGATCCGCCGACCCGACCCGATCGAATATTTTATTATTATTTAATTAAAATATCATTTTAAAAAAATAAAAAAAATCTTTTTTTATTTTTATTTTAAAATTAGGAAATAGTTTAGAAATTAGTATTTTTGAATATTTTTCTAAATTATATGAATTATTCGATTAATGATCATGTTTAGATTGGATAATCCTATAAGGCTATGCGGTAATATTTTGCATGTTTGTTTTACTGCTGTTATATTATTATTATGCATATTATTTTTAATTAGAATATAATTGCATAAATTATCATGTTTTGAATGTTGTCGCCTTAGTTAGGGTTAGAATCCTAGGCTGCATATCTTTCTTGACTGCTAATCACTAATGATTGTGCACTCGTTTGATCACCTCACATGTTAATAGATAGGTCCTAAAATCAATCCAAACTGCCTAACAAATATTTTCTGAAATGAACAGGATGAAAGGTACCGAAAGGACACTAGTCACTCAACTAGTATACCAAGTCCCTGAACTCATTTAATTTCTGGTTCGTAGGAGTAGGGCGATTCTTCCGTCACCTTACTTGCGTTTTTAATCGATCCACCCTAAATTGATTAGCAGTAACTCCTACATAAAAATCACTTGCAGGTTAAAAATTTAAACTACAAGTTG